TTGTGCAGCCACATGGCCAGTAAGGCAGGTGCTGTCACAAAGGTGCCCTACAAAACCTTCACTAATACTTTGAGCAGCATGATGAGTATTTGAAATAAATTCTCGTTCTGGCAGTTTATCCTTCACGTGAGGGCTAGTGAGGTAGATGGAAAGGAGAGTCAAAGGGTAGCATGGTACACAGACAGCTTCAGGACTAAGGCCAAGTTCTCGCATGAAATCAGGGTTACAAGCACAGAATGTATGTAAGAACTGTTATAAGAGTTTCAGGATATTCCCCATGCTCTTCAGGGCCATGGATGTGAAGAAAAAATTCTCTGTGGATTGGAGAAGAACTGATTTCTAAAATTACGCAGTGTTACCAGGTCATCCAAGACAGCTTTCCTTTCATCAAAGTAGATTCTCAGTTTTTTTCAATTTAGTGTTCTTGTACAGAAGATCAACTTTGCTACTCCTTTGGTGAATCGTCTAGGATGCCCTTGGACATGAAGTAGTTCACTCCCTCCTTTGGATTGGCATTAAAGGTAAGGCTGCCTTCATCCAGCTGCATATATAATTTTCTAAAAGAAAATCCTATAGGTGGGTTGTATTATATATAGAACAGTGACCCCAAGTGGATTTACACAACCCTTGCCACAGAAGTTCATCATTAGTGAGATCCTGCCAAACACATGAAGATAAACAGAGGTCAATTGCATTCAGGTAGGACAAGATTACCATCTTAGCTCAGGAGGCAACATTTCCAAATTAATGAATCCTTCCTGTTCTTTCCTTGTCTTAAAGAGATGATATAGATCAATGCCTCCCTGGATTTGTTTACCATGACTGGTGTTAGAAATGCTGCTGGCAGCCATCCTCCTGGTCTGCTCTCTGCTGAGGTAGCTTTCCTGCTGGAGCTGCTGGTTTCTGGCCACTCTCCACAGCCCCTGACCCACCTGCGAGCCTGATTCTGGAGGCCAGCTGGGCAAGTGTGGAGTCTGTTGGGAAGGCTGCCAGGAAGAGCAGTCTGGAACGCTCTGAAATGGGCTGAAGCTGCTGTCCCACAAGCAGAATTTCTTCCTTCTGGCTCTTTTTACAATTTTTAAATAAAACTATCTATTAGCCTGTTTTGTAGTTTCATACTACTAATTAGTAGGCTGTTAGCTGCATGCTTCATAGGCTCTTTCCTTGCTCAAATTCCCATCTCAAGGGCATCTTAACCCCAGGTGCCTGGAGTTTTGATGGTTTTAACTTAATTTGACAAACATGCATAGAAGACCACTTTATGTTAGTTCCAGGGATTCAGGCATGAACAAGGCAGTCCCTGCACTTGAAGAGCTTTTCAACTGACTACTAAATGCAAATGATAGGATGAGCAACAGACATTGTAATTGAGAAATTAATTCTGCAGGGACACCTCTGGAAGTCTTCACAAAAGGGGTGACATTTAACTTACTCAATAATGAACTGATATGAGAGCGTATGAATGGACTGAGAGCTTACCATGTGCCAGGCAAAGTCACCAGCCTCATGGAAATTCCATTCTAGTTCATATTTTAGAACTTTCTAGAATAGAAAAAAACTATCAGGCAGATTCACCCAATGGCCGGAGATGCTGAAGTGCATAGGAGCAATAGGACTGCTGAAATACAGATGCTCCTCAACCTATGAGAAATTGAAAATATACATCTAAAATGCATTCAGTACTACATTACAGAGAATTGTTTGTTTACCCTCATGATTACGTGGCTGACTGGAAGCTGTGGCTCCCTGCTGCTGCCCTGGGTCACAAGAGAGTTTTGTACCAAATATTGCTTGCTCTGGAAAAGATTAACACTCAAAATTCAAAGTACGGTTTCTATTGAATGCATATCGCTTTCACACCATCAATTTTTTGCACCAAAAATTTTTAAATTTTATAATTTTAAAATTATAAAATAAAAAAATTCTAAGTGGAACCACTGTTAAGTCGGGACCATCTGTATTGATTAAAAGGAGGGAGTGAGGTCAGGAAAGGGGGAGGGGAGTGACAGAGCAGACTGAAAAGGAACTTGGGAATCATACTGTAAAAGCCTTTGAAGTCATGCTGGAAAGTTTAGATTTTTTTCAGGAGGCAAATAGTCAGGATTGCCAATTTAGAGGCCTTCTTAAGACCCACGGCTGGAGGATGAATGGAGTTGAAACAGACCAGGCACAGGGAAGCCAGCTAGAAAGACTTTACACGAATCCAAGCAAGCAATGAAGGTAATTAGAAGAAGGTATGCTCTAGGAGTATAAAAAATGAAAGACAGAGTTTAAACATATCAGAAATCCTGTAAAACAACTTGTGCAGGGTGGATATGGGGATTTAGTAAAAAGGAGTGCAAAAGATAACTCACCCCAAACTGCAGGCCTTTGCTTGGTGGCATCATTCACTAGGGGGATGAAAACAAGAGATGTCCCCAAAAGGAAGGCAAGTCCCATCTCACAAAAGTCCGGTTCAGATGGCAGCTGAATTAATATCTGGTGGTGGGGAGCTTTAGGGAAATAGTTTCAAAGGCAAAATTGCAGATGGCTAAGAAGTTAGTAAAAGTCGAAGCAGGTAGTGTAGACTACTCTAAGCAGCTTTGGAACATATGTGGAAACACGGCTGGTTTGATCCCTGGTTGTGGTGTGACAGAATGAGAGGTCTTGGAAAGTCTAGTGAAGTAATAGTAATAGTGAGGTAATAGTAACAGAGTGTGGAGGAAATATTTCGACCATTCAATGTGTGAAGTGAAGCCAAGAGGACCTAAGACCTAGACCAGTGTTCTCAGACTTGATTAAGCATCAGAATCACACAGGGCTCATTAAGCCACAGATAGCTGGACCCCACACCAGTTTCTGATTCAGAAAGTCTGGGGTAGGGCCCAAGAATCTGCATTTCTAACGGGCTCCCAGATGCTGATGTTGCTGATCTGGAGGCCACACACACTTTGAAAACCACTGGCCTAGGGCAGCTGGCAGCTGGCAGATGCTAAGCAATTATCTGCATGAATGGATAAGAGGAGTCATTTTCAGGAATGGGAGTCTTCATGTAGTTAAAAGACCAGATGGAAGGTAAGGTTACATGGAAGATGGGAGATGGTGGTCAGAGTGGGACTTCAGAGTTTAGATTCAGAGAAGGAACAATTTTGGGTGAACAAGGTCCAGCATTGACCCTGCCAGGGGAATGATGGCAGGTCAAGGAATTGTGTTGCAAGGTTTTGTCAAAATAGATCACATGTGGCAGAGGCTTGAGTCTAAAGGGAAGTGTCAACAGGAATTCAAGATCTGAAGGGAAGTCTGGCTACTTTCTGGGCCTGAATTATGTAAAGCTGACTGTGTATATACCTACAGACTGCAACCCACCAGGTTAATGCACCAGTACCGGTAACAAACCTAAGGGATTTGTGACCCGCCAGCCGTCTGCTCAGCCCTTAAGCCAGGCCCAGGCCCCTGTGCAGGAACTGGGGGTGGAGACCATCGCCTGGGGGCTGCAGCCCTGTGAAGGAGCAGTTCGCTTTAGGCCCACCCTAGGGTTTAGGAGCAGGACGGATAGGATGGCTGCTGATGCTAGAAGTGGCTCGCAAAGAATTGATAAACACCCCCCTTTGCCCTAGCCAGTTTGGCTCAGCGGTTAGAGCATCGGCCTGTGGACCGAAGGGTCCGGGGTTCAACCCCAGCCAAGGGCGCCGACCTCGGGCACGTGTGGGAGCAACCAGTCAGCGTGTCTCTCACATGATGTTTCTCTCTCCCCTCCTTCCACTCTCCGAAAAGCAATGGAAAACATATCCTCAGGTGAGGATTAAAAAAAAAATCCCACTAGATTAGCACTTGTACAGATTGAAAATGTCTGTAACCCTCAGCCATGATTTTGCACCCTTCACAGGAGCAATGCTGGTCACGCCCCTCGGGCCGGCCACCCCAGCACGTGTCCCTCGTCAGCGCCCGGCCCGCGGCCTCAGTGACCTCCTCCCCACGCTGTTTTCCCGCCCGCGGGTGCCGGGGGTCGCCCAGCGGCCGTGGGCTGGTCCCAGGTCGGGGCGCACAAGAATCAACCAGTTTGTCGCGGAACAAAAAATCGATGCTTCCCTCTCTCCCTCTCTCAAACCTGTCACTGAAGTAGTATTGAAAACAACGGCGCACCGGACAGGGCAGCCGAGCGGATCGGTGAGGTGGCGCAGTGAGCGCCCCACAAACTCCGAGCTAAGCCCCGTCGCACTGCCCGGCGCGGGGCCCCATCGGTACCTGCACGCGTGGGGCTCACGGCCCCGCGCTCCCGCCGCGCACCTGCGCG